ATCAGTAGTATTAAGATCTACATTATTTAGTTTATATGTGGCATGGTTATTTTCCAGTCCAACATTTAGAACTTTGCATTCGTCTATATTGAACTGCATCTGCCACTTCTCCGACCATTGCATCAGTCTATTCAAATCATCCTGGAGTGCTCTAGTGTCCTCATTAGAATGAATTGGACGGCCTATTTTGGTGTCATCAGCAAATTTGCTTATGTCGCTATTTATTCCCTCATCTATGTCGTTTATGTAAATTGTGAACAACAACGGGCCCAACACTGACCCCTGTGGAACACCGCTTGTGACGTGCCCCCCATTCTGATTTCTCCCCATTTATCCCCTCAAGGAAGGTTCCTTGATGTTGGTGAGGGGCTCTTGATTTAGGGAATTGGATCTGTGCTCCAGTTCCCCGAATTAAGCCTGAATGCCTTCCACCCCCCCCCCCAGGCGCTGTATAATCCTCCGGGTTTAGCGCTTCCCCCTTGATTATTATAATATAATAATTATTATCTCCCCATTTATGCAAACTCTCTGCTGCCTATTTGTCAACCATGCCTCTACCCAGGAAATTTTTTTTCCTATTCCGTGTGCCTTAAGTTTCCTCAATAGCCTCTTATGTAGAACTATCGAAAGCCTTAATGAAGTCCATATACACAATATCATGTGCAGGAAAGGTATAAAATACCGACAATATGAAAGTTAAGACACATGTACAACATCTGGATATCTTTATTGTAGACGTTTCGCCATTCAGTGGCTTTATCAATACAGATTCTAGGACATAATAGGAAGACAGTAGAACTATATACAAAAGATGAGGTAATCAGTCCCTCGGCCTTGGAGTTAGTGTTCACAGCATCGTGGTGGAGGAGAATCTGGAGCAAAGACAAGAAGACTGGCGGTTATATAGGCGTCAGTGGATAGGGACGGGCAGCAGACGAGGGCAAAGTCACTGGTAGGCGGGATTCCCCAGTGGAAGTAGGTCCTTCCCAAAGAGATGGGTTAGTTGCAGCAGCCGTGAAGAAGGTCTTGTAGATGTCCTCTGAACCAAGATTCCATGATGTTGCAGTGTCGGTATTTTATACCTTTCTTGCACAACTTGTCAGACACTGCAACATCATGGAATCTTGGTTCAGAGGACATCTACAAGACCTTCACGGCTGCTGCAACTAACCCATCTCTTTGGGAAGGACCTACTTCCACTGGGGAATCCCGCCTACCAGTGACTTTGCCCTCGTCTGCTGCCCATCCCTATCCACTGACGCCTATATAACCGCCAGTCTTCTTGTCTTTGCTCCAGATTCTCCTCCACCACGATGCTGTGAACACTAACTCCAAGGCCGAGGGACTGATTACCTCATCTTTTGTATATAGTTCTACTGTCTTCCTATTATGTCCTAGAATCTGTACTGATAAAGCCACTGGATGGCGAAACGTCTACAATAAAGATATCCAGATGTTGCACATGTGTCTTAACTTTCACACAATATCATATTCAATACCATGATCTACCTCCTCAAACACCTTAGTGAAAAATGTTAGTAAATTCGTAAGACAGGAATGCCCCTTTGTAAAACCGTGTTGAGATTCATTAATCAATCTGTGCCTATCAATGAGGAAATGGTATGGTGATACCGACAAGATGTGGAAAAAGACACTTATTACAGTTCAGGACATTTATCAAAGGAAACGTTTCGCCACGAGTGGCTTCTTCAGTCCTAATACAGAGAAAACTAAGAAAACATTTATATATATAGTGGCAGGAGTCAGGTGAGGTGATGCGTGGGTAGAGGTGGTGGTAGTAGTAGTAGTAGTAGTAATGGAACTAAGGAGGTGAGGCAAGAGAGGGACCTGCTGGCATCAAGTAACACCAGTTCCCAGGATGGGTAATATCCTCTTGCTTAGTAATTTTGAAATACTGTAACTACCGGATTTTTGCAAGAGGATATTACCCATCCTGGGAACTGGTGTTACTTGATGCCAGCAGGTCCCTCTCTTGCCTCACCTCCTTAGTTCCATTACTACTACTACTACTACTACCACCTCTACCCACGCGTCACCTCGCCTAACTCCTGCCACTATATATATAAATGTTTTCTTAGTTTTCTCTGTATTAGGACTGAAGAAGCCACTCGTGGCGAAACGTTTCCTTTAATAAATGTCCTGAACTGTACATAAGTGTCTTTGTGCCTATCAAGTTGGCTACGAATTGCTTCGGCAATTGATTCCATAAATTTTCCCACTATGGAGGTAAGGCTTATTGGTCTATAGTTCGAAGCCAAGGACCTGTCACCTGCCTTGCTGTATAGCCCTTGTGGCTTAGCGCTTCTTTTTGATTATAATAATAATAATGTCACCTGCCTTGTAAATAGGTATTACATTTGCCATTTTCCACTTATTAGGCACTATGCCAGTTTGTAGTGATATGTTTAAAAGATTAGCCAAAGTTACTCTTTACATTCCTTTAACACCCTTGCGAATAGTTCATCAGGGCCTGGGGATTTGTTAGGTTTTAGTTTCTCTGTCTGAGGACCATGTCACTAGTTACCGCAATCGTGCATAGTTTATTATCATCCTGTTCTACATAATCTATTATTTCAGGAATATCGCTAGTATTTTCCTGGGTGAAAACTGAGAGGAAGTAGGTATTTAGGATTTCACACATATCCTTATCACTGTGAGTGATCTGACTAGAGTTACTCTTAAGTGGGCTAATCTTGTCCCTAATCTTACTTCTGTATACCTGAAAGAACCCTTTTGGGTTAGTCTTTGAATCCCTTGTGACCTTAGCCTCATAATCCCTTTTTGCTTTCCTTATTCCTTTCTTTATTTCTCTCTTTAATTGAATATATTGATTTCTTAACTGCCCATCCCCTCATTTGATACGCCTATATATGCCTCTCTTTTGACTAATGAGATGTTTTAATCTATTGTTCATCCTGTGGCTTAGCGCTTCTTTTTGATCATAATAATAATATTGTTCATCCACTGAGAAGACGATGCCAATGAGGGGCATAACCTCCCCTTCCTCTGATCAAACTTAGTGCCTCTCATTTCCTAGGTGCTATATAACTCCTACAGGTTTAGCATTTATTCGTGATAAAATTTGAAACTTGTATATGTCAATATAAATAGTGAAAATAATCCCCTCATAGGTGCCTTGATACCGGTAAGGGACTTAAGATCCATGGAAGTGGACCTGTCGTCCCCTTCCTTGGATCAAACCTAACTGCCGCCTATTCCCAATGTTCTTTATGACCCCAATTGGTTTAGCACATCACCTGATTATTTTAATTCTCACCCTGGCAACCTACTGGGAGGACTTCTTTGTCTAAGGAATTGGACCTGTCTTTCTTTTCCTTGGATCAAACCTACCATCCCCTCAGATGCTGTATGATCCCTATGGGTTTAGCACCTTTCCATAAATATAAACTGGTAAGCAAGGGCACTTTCTTCTGGCTTTTATTATTATTATTATTATTATTTATTATTATAATTATCCATTGTACATGAGTGTAGCACTTAACATGAATATAATACGTATGGTAAATAATTTTTTCAGCTACAGTATATTGGTATTTAGGCTTTGTTTTTCATGCCAAAGTAAAAGGTGTTATAAAGATAAAACAGTCAAGAGTAAAGATGTAGTAGCATATAGTGGAGGGCCTCTGGTACCTATCCTGCAACACTGCTATAACAACTTACCGGAGTGACGTAAGGGAGAGAGTTGAATAAACTCAGTGAAGAGCAGGAGATGGTGTGGATATGGATACAGTCGCAAAATTTTGTGAACATGCATGGCCCATGTATAGTAATGGTAGAACATACTGATATGTTAAGACTGATTTATGGCATTTTATCAAAACGCTTTCCTCTCGAGGGAGATTCTTTAATGTCAGTGAGGGGCTCTTAATCCAAGGAATTGGACTTGACCTCCCCTTTCTTGGATCGAAGCTAAATGCCTCCCAAGCACTATATGATCCCTATGTGTTTAGTACTTCCCCATAAATATAATCCTTGTTGAAACGCCGTGAGACCTCTTCCGGAGGCATGTCGGACAAAAGGGCCCAGAGCCTTGTGTCATAATATTAATCAAAACATTTCGTCTACCAGGGATTTTTTTTTATATAAACCGTGCACTATTGTGATGGCTATGTCCCTCAAGTGAGAATTGTCAGGTTCCACTATCTGTTAGCCACATTCTGTTGGACTGTCCACTCTGTCAATGAGCATGCAGAATTTACCTCCAACGTCGTCTCCGCTCTGCTACCCTTTCTTTACTTTCCCTTCTTGCTGACGGACCCTCCTTTAATCCAGACTTTCTCACTGACTTTTTGACAGCGACTGATTTACTACACAAACTCTTATGATGATGCCTCTAGTACTCTCTCCTCCGTCATTTCTACCTTAATCTCTAGCTACCCTGTACCCCTGCACTATCCAATGCCCTGCTGCACTCCATACCCTAATAATCATCCCTCTCCCTCTGCCACCCATTTCCCCTGCATCCTTCCCTGCTCTGCTGCGCAGTATAACCGTTGCAGTTTAGCGCTTCTTTTGATTATAATAATAATAATAATTTGATTATAATAATATACCTCTCAAGGAGGATTCATTGATAGCGGTGAGAGGCTTATGAATCAAGGAATTGTACCTGCCCTCTCCTTCCTTGAATCAAACCTGAATGCCTCCCACTCCCCAGGCGCTGTGCTGTATGACCCTAGTGGGTCTAGCTAGCGCTTGGTTTTGATGATCCCCAGGCGCTGTATGATCCCTACAGGCTTAGGGCTCCCCATGAATGATAATCATGTTTATTATATTACGCGATCTTAAGCAACGTACATAATACCGATAACAGTAAATGCAGTAATTTGAAATGCACTTTGAACCGATACAAACAAAAAAAAGCTAATTTAATAAATTAGTGAACATCTGCCATTGGTGAGTCAAGTGAGGGTAGCCAACAAGCAGTTAACCAGACCAGTCAGTCAGTCTGTCTGCAGCGGCAGAAGTGACGTTACGCTGCTTCATGCATTTGTATTCCTAGTTATATACTTTATCTGTACATTATATTAGTGCATTAATTGTTGTGACTGCAATTTATTTAATTGCTGGAACAGTTTAGCAAATGAATCACTTGCAAACTTTTCATTATTCTTAGTTAATACATAATTAGAAAAGTTTTGTGTGGATGATAACGATGTGCAGACTTGGATTCTGGTAAAATATGAATTGAAAGAAATGAGCAGCCTTCCATAGAAGATTACGTAAAATTTAATTCCTAGGTTATAGTGGAAAATTTGAGGCTTAGATCGGCGGCTGGTTCACCGACAGAGACAAGAGCTCAGCGCCAAGTCCACCTTGCAAGTGTCCAGCTTTGTGACAAGTAAGTTTTAAAAACATTAACTCCTGGAGTGTAAACGTTGGTCAATTTGTAAGTAATTTGTTTGTATACTGTCTGTATAACTCATAAAGGAAAATTATGTATGAAATATACAGTAGGTGACGAAGCTGAATTGAACAGCTTGCCTTGCTACTGCATGGATGAGGAATGACAATAAAACAAACACGATCATAAGAACGTAGGTTTACTCAATAGGGCTTTACCCACGACGAATGATTTCTCATATACTTAAAAAATAATGAAAGAACATTGCAGTAGGCCTATTTTCCCGTAGTAAATAGTTCTAACTCACACCCACTCATATACCCGTCCAACCTACATCTGAAGTATACTTGGAGAGGATTTCGGGGGTCAACGCCCCCGCGGCTCGGTCTGAGACCAGGCCTCATGGTGGATCAGGGACTGATCAACCAGACGTACAGCTGGCTGCACGCAAACTGACGTACGAACCACAGCCCGGCTGGTCAGGTACTGACTTTAGGTGCTTGTCCAGTGCCTTCTTGAAAACAGCCAGGGGTCTATTGGTAATCCCTCTTATGTATGCTGGGAGGCAGTTGAACAGTCTTGGGCCCCGGAGACTTATTGTGTTGTCTCAGTGTACTCGTGGCATCCCATCTTTTCATCTGGGAACTGTTACATCTCCTGTCGAGTCTTTTGCTTTCATAGGAAGTGATTTTCGTATGCAAGTTTGGTACTAATCCCACTAGGATTTTCCAAGTGTATATTATCATGTATCTCTCTCGCCTGCATTCCAGGGAATACAAATCAAGGGCCTTCAACTATTCCCAGTAATTTAGGTGCCTTATCGTACTTATGTGTGCCATGAAAGTTCTTTCTACACTCTCCAGGTCAGCAATTTTCGCCTGCCTTGAAGAGGGCAGTTAGTGTACAGCAGCATTCCAGCCGCCTAGAGAGAACAAACGATTTGACGAAAATCATCATGGGCTTGGCATCCTTAGTTTTGAAGGTTATCATTATCCATCCTATCATTTTCCTAGCAGGTGCAGTAGATACATGTATATTGTTGTGGTCTTTGAAGGCGAGATCCTCTGACATTATCACTCCCAGGTCCTTCATTTAAAGATGCCCAATGACGCTACCTAGAAGTTTGTTCCGTTCATCTAAAACTTGAGTGCCAAACCAGTATTTCCCTATATCCTTTCCAAATCTAAATTTGGCCAACTTTTAATTCATTGCTACAAGTCCTGTCTTGGTTAAATATTTTCAACATAGTTTATATTCCCTTTATTCCTGTGCTCCATATGTACACTTCAATCAAACAGTATCTCCCTTTTATTCTATATCTTTCCAAAGCGTCAATTCAGTACCTTCAGCCTATTTGTCTAACCTGTTTTAAAGCTGCCTCCTGTTTCAGCTCACCTGATTGCAGTATATAAGCCACTTTGTGCATTTCTTAAGACTGATGGACTGAACACATCAATTACAGGCCGAGAGACGGATTACCTAAAACTCCTCATCTTCCACTGGACAAGCACCTAAAGTTGGTACCTGACCAGCCGGGCTGTGGTTCGTACGTTGGATTGCATGCAGCCAGCAGTAACAGCCTGATTGATCAGGTGTAGACAGCCTGTACTGTCTGCACAGACAGCCTATGCTGTCTGCCAGCTTAGTTCATATTTTGCAGCAATAAGGTGCTGCCCTCTCTAGCCAGCCCAGGTCAGTGGGACGCTGGTCCCACACTCGCACTCTCACTCAGCGGCCAAGATACAGACAACAGTCCTACTAGCTCTCTCCCTCGTGGGCATGGCCCTCCTGGGCCATGGGCACTCAACACACAAGCCTGTGTACCCACCACGACTTTGCAAATAAAGTAAAGCCTCCAAAGACATATCATTTACTCCCCGCTACCAGCATCACCAAATAATCTCATTAAACATTGGTGGGAAGTGGTGGTCGCAGCAGTTGTGTTTGCCTGGAGAGAGGAAGGAAATGGGATGAAGTCATCTTCACTTTATCACCCTATACAAGAAGCATCCGTCTCTCAACGAGTTATCCTGATGTCGTGTCTGCACGTTTCAGTATCCAGACACAGGTACACGCAGGATCTAGCCAAAATTTACCGAATTTCTTCGAGAATTGTAAGTGGCATCCCAGTGACCCCATGCCACAGCGTCCCACGCTGTTTCTCAAGTCACGTGTTCAGCATCACTTGTATGTTCTGCTGTTGTTCAGCTCAGCACAGCTATTTCAGCAAGCCAGAGGTGAGTTTTGTGGTGATTTCTGCATCCAGAGTGAGTTTCTCCACGTGTTTGTGGGAGAACAGGAGGAAGTGGCCGGGTTCCTGCCTCACTCACACCTCACCCGCCTACCACCACTATGTGCTCACTCCCTCTGCTGTGTTTTCTGCTGTTTTCCGTGTGAATTCATTGCCAGAGCTGTGTATCCGAGTGCCCGAGGCCACTTGAAGCTACGTGGATCAGCAAGCCACGTAGATCACAATGCCACATGGATCCCAACACCACGTGGGGTGTGGACGAAGCCACGTGGATCTACAAGCCACATGAGTTACCGATGCTGCTGCCCAACTTCATGACGTCACGATGTCTGCCTGACATCACCTCGAGATGTCTGCTGTCACAGTGCTGCTGACATCACCTTGTGACATCATGCCTGACATCACATGATGTCACATCAAATGTTTCAGTAATTATGTCAGTATGGTCAAGAAGATTGAGAGAAGATATATGTTGTTTGTTAATTAAGTCCTCTCAGTCAGTGTTCTCGCATGTTAGTGTATGGCTTAGTGTCAATTTTGTGCACAGAAAAGCATCATTTGCCAGTTAAGCCATGTTGTACTGCATGTACCATGGATGTGTGTAAAGTTTTCAGTGTGTCCTGTGTGGTCTTGAGCCCAGCTGTGTGTCGACCACAGGTCTGCGGCCAGACCCTGTGTAGCTCTTTGTTGCCTGTCACCCGGTGTGACCAGCGCATTTGACAGCTGATATTACTCAGCCCTGAGTGTATGAGCCCCTTTGCACAGAAAGCTCTTATGCTTGTCACTCATAGATGTTCTGCAGAATCGTACCTGCTACGATTCCCATCGAGATTTGTTTCACTTCACCTCCAGACCATCAGAGTGCAGTTATATATAGAGAAACAAGTCTGGGGACGCTTAGACTAACCTCTGCTGTAACTCCAACTGCCCAGAGAATGACACTCATCAAGCCACAGTTAGCCCTGTCGGCAGGCGCTGTGTCAGCCTCGTGTCACAAGCTTCAGTGAGCAGCCTGCACAAAGATGATGTCACTTTGACTGTTAGCTCGCTCACTGCAGTCTAGTGTGTGATGTTACGACTCCCAGATGTTTTGCCCAGTCGTCTCTGCCACGACTCGCTTCACATCTCACTCCACGCTCGCCGGCAGTGACAGCCCAGTGACAGTACCAGTTGAGAAGTGTCCTGAGTCGCTTGCCAGAAGTCCTGCCCAGTTGCCGAGTTTTGACGACGCCTCACTCGAGGGCACCAGCATGTCATGCCCCAGGTTGAGTGAAACCCTGCAGTGACTCCTACGATGAATGCTTCACCGTTCTAGAGGAGACCGTACCCCGTTACGTCACAGCTCGCTCAGCTGCAGTATCTGTCCAGACACAGGAAGGCGTGCAGTGATGCCCTTCGATGCTCACTGCCTATGACCACAATTTTTAGCACACCCCATGTTTTTATTTTGTGTTCTGTGCCCTGTTCCTACGAGAGAGAGACTGAGTTTTTTTTACCACCAGTATTGTCGCGTTGGGACGATGCAAGGTAGGTGGCCGAGCAAATGTAGACAGCCTGTACTGTCTGCACAGACAGCCTATGCTGTCTGCCAGCTTAGTTCGTATTTTGCGGCACTAAGGTGTTGCCCTCTCTAGCCAGCCCAGGTCAGTGGAACGCTGGTCCCACTCGCACTCGCACTCTCACTCAGCGGCTAAGATACAGACAACAGTCCTACTAGCTCTCTCCCTCGTGGGCATGGCCCTCCTGGGCCATGGGCACTCAACACACAAGCCTGTGTACCCACCACGACTTTGCAAATAAAGTAAAGAAGCCTCCGAAGACGTATCATTTACTCCCCGCTACCAGCATCACTAAATAATCTCATTAAATACAGGCCCTGATCCACCATGAGGCCTGGTCACAGACCGGGCCGCGGGGGCGTTGACCCCCAGAACTCTTTCCAGGTAAACTCCACCGTGCTTCTCTGTACTGGACTGAAGAGACTACTAGCTGGCAAAACGTTTCCACAATAAAAATTCCCAGATGTTGCCCAAGTGTCTCATTCTTCAACATCTCGGTTTCTAAACCGTTTATATCACTTCAGTAACCCTATTTGCGCTATGTTGGCAGCTTACTTCACTGCCAAACCAGTGGTCTTTTATATTCCTTCCGAATATGAAGGCATTATAGCTCTGTCACAGTCAGACCTCTTAAACACCCAATATGTATCATTCCATTTTCACCCATCTTCCATCGTCCACATCAAACATTCTTCCTTGCCAGTAAGTCTACTGCAATGCTAATCTATCTGTAAGTACTAAAGTAAATTCACAGTGTATATATTCGCTGAAAAAGTAAAGCTGGTGTACATACCTACCCACGCTTTATCTCTTATAGCGATAGCCAAAATCTACCTAATTCACTTTTTTTTATGTCTGCTAGATCTGGGTTAAAAAAAATGATGAGGATGATGGTTGTGCTAATACTGGCTCTGGCTCAGTGTGAGACAAACTCTGACAGCTACGATGCAGACGAGGAAAGGTTCATGACAGGTGCCCGTGCTTTGGAAGACCACACAGGTGCACCTGAGGAAAGGTTCACGACCGGTGCCCGTGCTTCGGAAGATCACACAGGTGCACCTGAGGAGAGATCCACAGCAGGTCATGCACGTTACTTACAGAGAAATACAAATCTGGCACTCAAAACGTTGTCAGCGCCATGTGTTTTAGCCCACCTGTCTCCAGAATTTCCTGATGGACTAGCTGGTCAAGACATCCACAGAAACAATAAAGAAATCAACAAAACGTTCACACTTTTCCTAAAATATAACAGCTTGAAATATTTCCAACTCACCCACGCGGTTAAGAAAAGAAAACAGAATGTCTTCACGGCATTAAAAACTTCAGTGAAGACGGGTGAAACTCCTGAGTTATCTCTTAATGACGTAGAAGAGGACAAGTCTGAGGTGCAACTGAAGAAGGTTAGCGAGGATGTGCAGGTGATAGTGAACGCCAGGGAGACTGCTGGTCACCTCCAGCACTTCTGGCGCAGCACTGGTCTATGGTGAGCTCTAGGTTTTGCCGATTTTCTTTTGCATACAACCGCTCTACTGCCCTTTACCTTCCCTTCTTGCTGATGGACCCTCCTTTCACCCAGGCTCTCGTCGACTTTTTGACAGCAACTGATTTACTGCACAAACTCTGATGATGATGCCTCTAGTACTCCTCACAGCCCTTTCTACCTCAATCTCTTGCTACCCTCTACCCCCTGCACTATCCACTGCCCCGTTACACTCCATGACCTAATAATAATCTCTCCCTCTTGCTACCCAATACCCCTGCATCCTTCCCTACCCTGCTGTGCTGTATGACCCTAGTAGGTTTAGCGCTTCTTTTAGATAATAATAATAATAATTCTTTTGCATATATATAATAATAATGTTAGCATTTACTTTAGCTGATTCGGGTTATTATGTAAATTTTAAAACAAAAAGGTTGTGCAATGGTGTCAATTTTATTTTGTTCCTTTGGGAAGAAATTTTTTGGTACCCTCACCAAAAAACAGAATCCAACCTACCATGACCTAGGCTAGATTTTTTAATACAAGGTAAGGTTAGGTTTGGTTGGATTAGGTTGTTATTGTTACCAAAAATGCCTTTTTCCCATAGGTCCGAAATATTAATGTCTCATTGCACAACACATTTAGTAGTTAGTTTAATATGTTTATTATGCACCCCATACCCATCCTGTGGGCGGTAGTCACCCCATACCCATCCTGTGGGCGGTAGTCACCCCATACCCATCCTGTGGGCGGTAGTCACCCCATACCCATCCTGTGGGCGGTAGTCAAAAGATTACAAAGGTACATAATGGGTCCAGGGACTGGACCCCAAAGTTATGATAGCTGAACTAGTTACAAAGGTAATGAACTCCAGGTAGATCTGGTCACAATTATGGCAAGTTACAGAGGTAATGAATCAGCTTCACTCCTATACATGGTTACAGTCATGAACAAATTACAAAGTAATGAACCACTGATACGTCCACACCTGGTCACAATTGTAATGAGTTATAAATACAAATATTAAGTGGATCATACACCCACACTAGCGCGCGCACACACATACACACACGAGGGCGCACGCACTGACATGTGCACACGAGCGTACAAATATATGCATACACACAAGCACATTTAGTATTGTAGAATTTATTTACTAAAAATCCAGACATCTAAAATAAATTTTAATTAGTTCATTCAAAAACCCACAAAAAATACTTTATTAAAAACTTATACAAAATAATGATGCATATTGCAAAACCCGTTTGTTATACACTGTGAACTATAATAACCTGACTCCCCCGAGTAACTGAATGAAATATTGACTAATTAATAATAATAATAATAATAATAATAATAATAATAATAATAATGTATACTTTTACATTATTTTTGTATTTAGATTAGCTGAATTTAATATAGGAAAACACGCTAATGATATTAACCAGTTTGTGTATATTCAGTTGAGTAAATTCCTCTAGTGGGGGTACTGAGGGCAACAATGTATATACACGTAGATGTATATATATCTCAGTTTATATACCATTAGAGTTTAGTTGTGTCACCTGAGTGGCTGGTATATCGTGCACTTGTTCATCCCGTGAACGGTAGAGCAACAAAATAGGATTACAGAGGTCACAATAGGTCTTTGTCAGACCTCACTGAGCATTGTTACACCACTGGAAAGAAATACTTGTAGCCTTCGTAAACTTTTTAGAAAAAAAAAAATTATACTCAACATTCTCTTAATGCTTGTTTAGCTAATTCACCAATTTTGTCATGCCACTGGAGGCCTGTGTGAGAGGGCATCCACAAAATCTTAACTGTAATCCCTTTCTTAATAATCTGTGTATATATACATCAAGCTTCATATATAAACATGTTACGTTCAGGTCTCAGGTTACTTATTGCAAGTAATGAGGGAAAAATGTTAGTGACGCTCATATTTTCCACAAGTTTGAGAGCAACAAATATGGTAGCAGTTCAGTCTGTAAGGTCTAATTGTTAATTCTAATACACATCTGTATTACAGTACCATCAAGCTGGTTTACGATAACACTTAGAGTTTAATTTCATCCCAATATCCCCATATTTGGGATTAAAATATTTTCGATTAGTGGTGAAAAAATTACTGTGCGGCCTTAATGACCTTAGTGTAGTTGATAGGCCTTAAACTTCATTGACCAACCACCTAACAAATTAATGCTAACAACACAGGATATATACCCTGAGAAGTGTTTTTCTACCAGCGTATTTATGCTCAGACTTCACGTTAGGTGCAGTTTTAATGACACTAGTATAGCTGGTAGGCTTTAAACCCCATTAACCAATATCAACCAGTGGATATAATTATGCACCGAGAAGTATATATCTCTCAGTGTATTTACATTGAGTTTACTTTAATTCTTGTTTTAAGGATCAAAATATTCGTGATAGGTGGTGAGTAGGTTACATGCAGCCTGAATAACCCTAATGTAATTGCTAGGTGTCCCGTAGCTGCATCACTAGCGCACTCAGCTCACACACTGAAGCCCGGGGTTCGAATCTCCTCCGGTACGGCTGGAAAACGTTAGGGACGTGTTTCCATAAGACACCTGCTGTCACTGTCCCTGTTCACCTATCAGTTTAAAATGGGTACCTGGGTGTAAGTCGACTGATGTGGGTCGCATCCTGGGACAAAACTGACCTAATTTGCCCGAAATGCTCAGCATAACAATTGGCTTTGTATATAGTAGTATGTCATTGATGTCAACTAGGACTGTATAAGTTGTAGTAAATAAAGATATTATTATTATTATAGTCTTGAAATTCCATTAACTAATGAACCAATATTAATATGTGTGGATCATTCAGCACAAGGACTAGTGGAGGTTCCATCCTCCGTTCCGTAATCACTATACAGACACGACACCAAAGTGTATTCACCTATTTTGATCTCATATATGACTAGTATAAAGGAAAAACTAAGATTAATAAATAATACTCAGAACAGTGACTCCAGTACAGCAGTGGTCACTGCCACTATGGCCACCATAGTACCATCAGTTACCACACCTTCACATGTCCTTAGACACCAATGCAAATATTAAATTTCTATGATAGTTTATCTTAAAGCAGCACGAGCCTAATTCTGCTGCTGTAGCTATCAGACTGTAACTACAAAAGGGAAGCTACACAGTGCTGCTCCGCCCCGGACACAGTGAATCACTGAACCACTCATCACCAACATAGACATGAGTTATGAAGTTATTAATTCTTTGCTGCAGCCCACCATCTCCCCACACCTCCGCTCGTCCCTTCCTGCTCAGTCAAGACGAGACTCTCAACTTGGCATTGATTGGCACTTTGCCTCACGGCGCTGTGGCACAGGTCCGCGTACACTGGCTGCTGGATTTAGTACAAGGAAGGTAAGATTTATTTTGTGTTGAAACGTTTATACCGAGTTTTGAACAATTAGTATTTCAAAACCGAAAAGAAAAATTAATAGTCAACTGAACATATATGTATACTTAATTTATAATGCACAAATGGTGCAATAAATTGAAAACCCATAATATACACTGCAATCTTAAATAACCAAATATTTCTCTCTCTCCTCTCTCTTTCTCTCTCTCTCTCTCTCTCTCTCTCTCTCTCTCTCTCTCTCTCTCTCTCTCTCTCTCTCTCTCTCTCTCTCTCTGTCTCTCTCTCTCTGTCTCTCTCTGTCTCTGTCTCTCTCTCTGTCTCTGTCTCTCTCTCTCTCCTCATCTCTCCTCTCTCCTCTCTCTCTCACTCTCTCTCTCTCTCTCTCTCTCTCCTCTCTCTCTCTCTCCTCTCTCTCTCTCTCTCTCTCTCCCCCAATAATAGTTCCAAAGTAATTCTTTTAGAAATATTTACAAAAGCTAAGAATATAAAACTAACTTAATGTGACCTCAATCAAGAGACATTTTTTCCATTTTCCTGATGAGACACTCCAACAGCATCGATAACACTACTACCACTATCACCACCATTACCAACACCACCACTAACCACCACCCAAACCACCACCACCGTCTGTAACGATCACCACCAGCATTACTCTCAACCACCACCAATCTAAACAACCCCCACTCCAGCTACCACCCCAACTACCACCACCATCCCAACCACAACCACTACCACCACCCTACTTATCCACCACTACCATCGACTAGGACGAAAGGAACATGTGACATATCTGAAAGTAATTATGCCCTCTGACCGTTCTTTCAATGAACACAGTAAAACCACTGTCACAACAGCCAGGAAGATGACAGGGTGGATAATGAGAACTTTCAAAACTAGGGAACCAGTGCCAATGGTGACCCTTCAAATCACTTGTGCTCTCTTATTTGGTATGTTGTTCGATGTTGACGGATCATTTCAGGGCAGGAGAGATATCAGAACTGAAACAGATACCATTTACGGCCCGCACATATTATTATTATTATTATAATCAAAAAGAAGCGCTAAGCCACAAGGGCTATACAGCGCTGTACGGCCCGCACATAGCCGATATGCATTTAAGTAATTTACTAAGAACGCCTTAAGGTCCTAAATATGTACTCACTGGAGGGGAGGAGAGAGATCCATAATAATATATAACAGGAAAGTACTCGAGGGCCTTGTCCCAGGTCTGAATACTGCCATAATAACATACTGGAGTAAGAGATTAAGTAAGATATGGGAGGAATTGCAAAATAAACCCAGTACAAAGCAGAGGCACTGTGGAAGCAATGAGAGGTATCACCGTCCGTGGGCCCAGACTATTTATCATCTTACCAGAAGGTATCAGAAACACTGCTGGGATAAGTGTAGAGGACTTCAAAAAGAAACTGGACAAGTATCTTCACCAGATGCCAGATCAATCAGTCTGTAATGAATATGTGGGTCATTGGGCCACCAGTAGCAACAGCCTGGTTGACCAGGCAAGCACCAGACGAGCCTGGCCCAAGGCCGGGCTCTGAGAGTAGAAAAACACTCGGAACTTATCAAAGCTAAAGGTTTTATTCGAAACAACCACCATTATTGCCACCACCTGAAACCACCCCCATCACCTCAAACAACCAGCTCACTCACCAACCTATCATCACCACCACTACAAGGAAATGCCTCTAACGGAAAACTTATCATATTATAAGCTTAGAAAACGGGTTTCCGAGGTACGACTTCAGTCAACTGGACTCACTACTTGACCACCTTCACAACTACCACCTGCGTCCAGGCTTGGAGCTCATGGGCAACCCAGGTAACCTCTTCACTGACATGGAGAACCACACTCAGGTCATCTGGTGGAGGGACCTGGTAGCTCACACCGCACGCAGATACATCGGTATAGTAACTGTCTCTAAGTTCCAGATCTGCCACTGACTCTCTCCCTGCATGACCCTTGTGGGATTAGCGCTTACTTATAATAATAATAATAATAATAATAATATTATTATTATTATTATTATTATTATTATTATTATTATTTATTAATACCACTATTTCTTAAGTTTGACATTCATGGGGTTTAAGGTAAACCCATTGAATAATGTTTGCCTTAAACCACATTCATAGAGAAATGGGAGGCAATCGGGTTAAGAAGGGTTGATCCAAGGATAGAGATGTTAGGTCCAGTGCCTTGAATTAGTAGCCTTGGATCAGCAGCCTTGGATCAGTAGCCTTGATCAGTAGTCTTGATCAGTAGCCTTGATCAGTAGTCTTGATCAGTAGCCTTGGATCAGTAACCCTGGATCATTAGCCTTGATCAGTAGCCTTGGATCAGCAGTCTTGATCAGTAGTCTTGATCAGTAGTTTTGGATCAGTAGCCTTGGATCATTAGCCTTGATCAGTAGCCTTGGATCAGCAGTCTTGATCAGTAGTCTTGATCAGTAGTTTTGGATCAGTAGCCTTGATCAGTAGTCTTGATCAGTAGCCTTGGATCAGCAGCCTTGGATCAGTAGCCTTGGATCAGTAACCTTGGATCATTAGCCTTGATCAGTAGCCTTGGATCAGCAGTCTTGATCAGTAGTCTTGATCAGTAGTCTTGATCAGTAGTCTTGATCAGTAGTCTTGATCAGTAGCCTTGGATCAGTAGTCTTGATCA